CCATTTCGGTCGAAAATATCGACCGACTGCGATCGTTCCCCATTAGCGACCATTATTTCTTTGACGAATTGAAAACAATTGGAATTCGATCGATTTTTGTTCGATTCTGATCGGTTTCGGTCGATTTTTCTGGACGCTTTTTGATAGGTTTTTAGTAGAGCAAGAATAATACTGAATATGGTGTATTAGTAATGCTGAAATTATTTCTTATCAACTGTTTGGTTTAGTGTATTGAAGATTTAGTGTATTGAAGCATTCTATAATTTCTAAAAAAAAAAGTTGGTTGTTTTCAAGAACACCTGCACATTCTTTAACTTTGCACACTATTTTTATAGCAACAGTTTTATTGCCTTCAAATTATTTACTTTTTTCTAAAGCCAACTTTTCTTTGTAGGGGAACAATTAAAAGAGAAAACTAAGAAAGAAAAGAGTTTGTAGTACACGTGTAATAGTTGTCATTACAAAATAGAGCCCAAATAAAAGATGACATATGTCCAATTTAATCAATTTTTTCACTTTTCTTCTCAGTCGCGCGTGTAAAGGTTAAAGCAAACTCTCTGTCGCATCCCTAAAGATTAAATGTGTAACTGACTTCTCCGAACAATTACGCAACTAAAGTAAGTAACTATGCATAATAACATCATTTTTATATCCAAGGCAGCAATTACAAGGCACTAATGATTACACACCAAAGACAAACAAAACGAACTTTTTTGGACACTCGGCACTGCTAAGATATTTCTAAAGTGTTAAACTTGGATCCGTCTGGATTGATTTGCAGAGATTATGGTGAGGACAAGGTAGCAAATCACAGCAAAGTAGGAGAGCATGACACTGTTTGTGACCTTGTGACAGAATTTGGAAACATGATCACAAATGGGCATCCATCCCGAATGGATTTCTCCATGTTTCCCCACATATCCAATTGCAGTCGCTGCTGCACATCCAGCCAGCATTACTGCCATCACAATCTGTCATCACACCAAAATTCCAACATTAATTAATTCACATAAATCTTTCATAATTAATGTACTAATATTCAGAGGTGGACCCAGCGTTTGACCAGTACGGGGGCACCACCTTAAAAATAAAATAAAAAGATAAGCTTTGTTTGAGGTAGGATTCGAAATTGGGTCTTCAAGAGAATGAAAGCACTTCTAACAAACTAGAAGCTCTGTCCAGATTTTGTGACTTTAGAGGGCCGCATAAAATATTCAAGGGGTCCTCATTGTATTGATAGATAGATAGATATATATATCTTTTTAATGAAGCTTACGGGTTCCGGTGACCCCAGCCCCCACCATAGGCCCCCCTGCTAACATTATGCTCATGATAAAAATCTAACTCCATGAGAGATCATTGTTCAAATCCTAACACAAACAAAGACGTTAGGTGATTTCTTCTCATAGATATATAAGCTTTGGTGAACATAGTTAAGAAATACCTTACTAATGGGCAAATTGACTATTCTAAAAGACGTGCGTCACAATAGTCCAAAGCCCACAGAAGGAAAAAGGTCCATACAGTCATACTAGCACAATTTAAACCAATGAACTACTTCTAGGCTCTAGCTTCTCTTTTTTTTCGCTTTTTATTTTTTTTTTTTAAATTTTTGAATTGTCAGAACAATTTTCTCAAAACTTATATATGCAGTATTCACCAACAACTAGAAAAGTGTATTGTAAATGACGTCTAGGTTTAAGCCTCATAAATATGAAATCAAATCAAAAGACAGAAATGTATGGAAAATACCGTATGAGATTCTAGGGTGGGGAAGAAAGGAATTCTTTTTTCAGGCCCCAAATTGCTTTACAAATTACCTCTGAGTCTGCCTAAATCCAAATTGGTTAAGAACTTTAACCAGATCTACTACTAACAATTTAAAACGTGCTAATTTGACAAGTGACTGATCATTGAAAAGGTGAAAAGTTTGACGTACCAAATCATGAAGGAAAATGTAAAAGTAGTGCTTTGGGTCAAAACCCTTATGGCCTAAAACAAAAGCCAGAAAGAGGGACAGAACAGAGAAGGCACATCCAATGATATTTGCCAAAGCAAAGAACCTGCAGAGAACCCCCAAAGCAAAATCAGATTCAGAACTTTCAAATAAAACCACAAATATTTGCTTTTGATATTCTTTACTTGAAAGTGGGAGAATAGCTATAGCGAGCATCCATCTCAAGGCCAAATACAGTGACAGTCTGTTTGCTGGTAAGAATAATCAAAGTGGACGCCAATGTGAATGCAGTTGCCAAAATTCTCAGGAAAATTTGAGTTCCCAACAAACACGTGTCAGATTTCCGAGGTGGGCTTTGCAAATTTTTGACGCTGAAACTCTCCATTTTTGGGATCTTCTCAGAAAAAAGAAGGGGGCAAGAAGAGAAAGAAGAACGGAATGAAGAAATTAATGGACGAGTGGATGTTGTGGTGGTATTTATAGAGTGAGAGAGTGGGGAGACTCCGAGAGAGATCGTTAAAGTAAATGGATCACTTTCAAGACCGACAAAAAAGCAAAGAAGTTTGAAAACTGCTGCCTTTGATTTAACAAGCAACAAAAATAGATAAACAAAAATGCATTATTTCTCGGGAAAAAAGAACAAAATTGTTTTAATTGTTAACTTAATAAATTACTATCTATTAAAGGACATGAGATTTTACTGGGGTTTGGTGATGAGTTAAATCCTAGTCGTGTATCTTATGTTTGTTCTCTATATATAGGCCTTTGCTTTCGGAAGCACCAATGACTAATAATGAGTATATATAGGTATCTAAGGCCTCATTTGTTTGCACTTAATGGAGGTCTGAATCTTAATCATTCAGATCTCAGATATTAAGTGTGTTTGCTTTTAAAGTCAAAATCTTAATTATTCAAATCTTAATCATTAAGTGTGTTTGTTTTTTTTACTTCACAACCACTTAATGAGTCTGAATAGGTCTGTATGATTACGATCTATAACAGAGACTTAATTTCATTAAGATGCTATCACATATTCATTATTAACAGCCGCCACCGCCTACCATTATCAACTACCACCATGCCACCACCACCACCATACTCAACCACCACCACCACCACCACCACCTCCACCACCACCACCCCATCATCATCCTCAATCATAGCCTCCATTATCGACCATCACCACCTACTATCCTCACCACTCCGACAACCATCATTCTCACATAAAATCAACACTCATCCGCCTCAACAATCACAACTGACCACCCCATCACTATCAATAACCACAGCCGGCACTGCCCATAATTGTAACCTACCACCACCCACCCACCACCTTCCTCAATCACAACTACTACTACCACCACCCGACATTATTAACTATCACCACCCACCACCACCATCCTCAATCATAATCGCCACTACTACCAATCACTACTACTAGCATGAACCACCATCATCAACCAAAACTACCACCAACCACCGCCTTTAGTCGGCATTCACCCGTTAGCTATCACCACCAACAACTATCATATTTTAAAAAAAAACTATATATTTTATTGATAGAGTATTAGATTAGTTAGTATTTCATTTGAATTTTATGTTTATTAATTTTCAAATAAAAATAAATTTTATACATTCAGATGTTAAAAATCAAACAGTCTTAATTATTTCTATTCTGATCTTAATACACATCTTAATATATTTAGATGTGTATTTAGATTCAGATGTCTTAATCTTAATACACATCTTGATATTCAGATGTGTATTCAAATTCAGACGTCTTAATCTTAAAAAAAAAACAAATGAGGCCTAAATCTTGAAATTGGTCTTCGATTTAGTGGCTGCTGCCAATTCTTACTTGCCTTAAAGTATGCCAAGACTTTGGCCTTAGAGAAATAGTCCACTAGTCAACAAGTAAATTAACTAAAAGTGGATCGGAGGGAGTATTAATTTGTGACTATATATTTTTATTAAAGTGGACAAGTAAAGTTCTTAACCAATTTGGATCTATTATTAATTTCATTGTAATTAATGCTAAAAGGTGAATTTCTTAGCTAGCGTTTAGCCATAGATTCCCAAACTTGTTTTAAAAAATCTGATTTGGATGAAGTTTGGTTTGAAGATGAAAATGTATTTGGACTTCAGTTTTCAAAACATATTTCACTTTTTTTTTTGAAAAAAAATATGAAACATAACTCATACCCACAAGTTCTAAAAACTATCACAAATACCCAACAGTACTTTTATCAATAACATTTATTATCATTATCACATAACATAGTCCTGAACATAAATAAATTTGGTACGGAATTATCATTTTTATAATGAACTACATAATACACTATCAACAAATTACTAAGTAGACGAAGCAACTGTTAGTAATCTGTATTTGTAAACTAATTCTGGAAAAAACAGAATAACATATAAACAAAAAATGTAAAGAAACAAGAGTTAATCCGAGCCCACTGAGTTCACAGTGTTTCCTTAAGGAATTTAATCCCCTCCTAGTACCCAAGGTTACGGATTATTTCTTCCCAGGATAGAACGAATTACACACTGGTGTAGTAGTACTTCAAACCGCAGTGTTTCAGCGAACACAAAGTTCGATAGCAAATCACACTTACTGTTTCTTTCTTTGAAGTTAAAAGTATGTAGAAGAAAGGAGGAGAAACTCAGAAATTCGTATTGAAATTCTGAGAGAATGGACTTGTATTTATAGCAAATCTTGGGCTGAAATCTGAAGAGGTGCAACTCTTCAGAATGGCTGTTTATGCAAAACGGCCACAGCATAAATGCCATAACATAAATGGCTATTTACTCAACAATAAAGAGGGAAAATTGAAGTGGGAAGTTTAATTTTCAGTTACACAACTGAAAACTGAAAACGGTTAGATTTTAATATTAATATTCTGTAATTAAAATAAATATTTAATAACAATTCTGTTAATATTTACTATTAACAAATAAATTTGGTCCAAAAAATTAATCAATCAATCGATCATTTGACCAAATCCGAATCCGAAGCCGAAGCCGAGCCGAGCGAGCGACGACGACGAAGGCGCAAGGCTTGCTTTCTTCTCAACTCTTTAAGAGCTAGAAGAAGAGCAATTGCCTATATACTCATCAAAAACCTCTTCCTCTTCCAATATGGGACAATGTCCATTAATATTAATATTTTGTTATTAAAACAAATATTTAATAACAATTCTGTTAATATTTACTATTAACAAATAAATTTGGTCCAAAAAATTAATCAATCAATCGATCATTTGACCAAATCCAATTCCGAATCCGAATTCGAAGCCGAAGCCGAAGCCGAGCCGAGCTGAGCGAGTGACGACGATGACGGCGCGAGGCTTGCCTTCTTCTCAACTATTTAAGAGCTAGAAGCCGAAGCCGAAGCCAAAGCCGAGCCGAGCGAGCGACGACGACAACGGCGCGAGGCTTTCCTTCTTCTCAACTCTTAAAGAGCTAGAAGAAGAGCAATTGCTTATATACTCATCAAAAACCTCTTCCTCTTCCAATATGGGACAATGTCCATTAATATTAATATTCTGTTATTAAAATAAATTTTTAATAACAATTTTGTCAATATGTACTATTAACAAATAAATTTGGTCCAAAAAATTAATCAATCAATCGATCATTTGAATCCGAAGTAGAAGCCGAAGACGAGCCGAGCAAGCGACAACGACGACGGCGCGAGGCTTGCCTTATGTCCATTAATATTAATATTCTGTTATTGAAACAAATATTTAATAACAATTCGGTTAATATTTACTATTAACAAATAAATTTGGTCCAAAAAATTAATCAATCAATCGATCATTTGACCAAATCCGAAGCCGAAGCTGAAGCCGAAGCTGAGCCGAGCAAGCTACGACGACGGCGGCGCGAGGTTTGCCTTCTTCTCAACTTTTTAAGAGCTAGAAGAAGAGCAATTGCTTATATACTAATCAAAAACCTCTTCATCTTCCAACATGGGACATTGTCCCTTTGTCAGGGGGGAGGGGGGGGGGGGGGAAAGAACTTAAAATTTCACTTAAAAATTTTATTTCCCTCCATTTCCCATTCACCCTCTTTTAAACATTTAATATACCTAAAATCCAACAGCAACATTGTTACAAAATAATAAATGGTGGGCTCTTTTATAAAATACAAAAGTTTGGCGCAATTTTTAAAAAATACAATAATAATATTTTGGGTCAAAACCAACTCTTGAGCTGGTTTTGGGAATTTGCCAAAATATAGATAAAATTTATGAACAAACATGTATTTGCCCAAAAACAATTGGCAAAATCTATGGCTAAACAGGTTCTTTATATGTGTGACAATAGCCAAAAAAATCAATTGATTTATGACAAATGATCAAAACCTTTTTCTTTAGTAACATTAGTGAAGTTCTCAACGACAATAATCTTTGAAAGGTTAGATTTCAAAACCTTTTTCTTTAGTAAAATTAAGTGAAGTTCTCAACGACAACAAAACGTCGATGAGCAAATGAAATGAACCTTGTGAATATGAAGCTTCCTTTATGGAAGCCATTAAACTCAGTAGAATTTTCAAAAAGAGAAAAAATAAAAAAGTTTGATATGTCTATCTTTGTATTTGAAATACTAACTTGGCCATCTCATCTTAACACTTACTAGACGCCGCAAAATCCTCTCCCACATCCTAAAATATTTTTTGGTGCGTAGAAATGTTTATTTTGGACAGCGCAGCACCAAATGAAGGAAATAAAACAGAGGCTTTTTTTTCTCATTCAAGAAATTAAATATTGTGTGGTAAAACTCTCTAAATTAGAGCTAGTTAAAACTTATGTCTAAATAGAACAATTTAAGTAACGAAGTGTATATGCCAAATAAAAGCTCAATATAGAGAGAGAAGACGAAAATTTACTGCTTTTACAATTGTGTTGGGTGGATAATATATCAAAAGTTATGACAGCCCAATTGTTAAAGGCTAAGCAAAAGTAAGAGTAGTAGTAATTTATTTCTAGACATTTGATGGATATTTCTAAACTAAAGATAAGATAAACATTTTTCTTTCATATATCCAACCACCTCACTGCAACATAAATAAAAGAAGCTAAGCAAAAAATATTTTGATAGATATTTGATTGAACCAAGAATAAATAAATGAACCAAACAATAATTTACTTTACATTTGATGGATATTTCTAAACTAACGATTAGAGAATATTTTCTTTCATATATCTAAGTTCTAACCACCTCGCTGACAATGAAATAAAAGAAAGGTCGCTATTTCTCTGTTATTTTATTAATATTGTTTGCCTCTGCCCTTCCCAGATTGACGAAGACTTTCTGGGATGCAGTCAATGAAAAAGTCGTTTTGCCTTTACATTGAAAAATAACGAAAACCTAACAAGTAAATAGTGAAGGTAATGCATGTTCATTTAATGAGTGTTATATATTTATCCCATTTCACAAAGGAAAAAAAGTAGGAGAAGAGATAAAAGATACTTTGGGAGGAGAAGAATTGAGTAGCAAAAAATTTAGGAGACAAACAATTGTTATGTTGTA